GGAATGCACCACCATGACCATCTTCCCATACTTACTTCTGATGTTCATCATCGGTAGAGTGGCTAAGCTGTTAATATGAAGAGAAGAGCTAGGGGTGGAGCGGCAGGGCACTCCAGTACAGGGCAGCCAGAGCCATCCTAGCAAGAAGAGCAGCAGCAGAAACATCAGCAGACAACTGGAGCCTTTAGTAGTAGGAGCAGGGCACTGGGGCCAAAGCAGCAAAAGTGAAAGTGGTGGTGGAACGGCTTAGAGCTGCCACAGGACCAATACTAACATCAGTGGCCTACTGTGGCAAGAGCAAAACTGAAATCAACAGAGCACAAGCATTATAACACTTGCCCCGACATGGCTTTCAATCACCCTAAGCATTCATTGCCATTGCTCACAAAAACCCACCAAGGGCTGGGCACTGGTGGCTACTCAGGAGGCAAAGATGAGGAGGACCATGGTTCGAAGCCAGCCCAAGCAAATAGTTCACAAAGTTCTGTCTCAAAAATACCCAACACAAAAAAGGGCTAGTGGAGTGGCTCAAGTGATAGAGCACCGGCCTACTAAGCATGAGGTCCTGAGTTCAAACACCACTACACACACACACACACACACACACACACACACACACACACACACATACATGCGAAGGTTGTGGAATAACTGGAAGAGATTTTCCTCATCCTACACATTGTTTCTACCAGATAGAACAGAAGATCATCAGACAGCTGGTTTGTGACATTCTGACAATGAACACAACTCAAAGCTTTGAATTCTTTATTTGCATGTAATAAAGTAAGACATTAAAAACAAAATACAAGATTATTCTGCATTGCTTCTAACCAGCCACATGATCTTGGGTAAATTATTTAAGCTCTCTAGATTTTCCTTCAAATTCTTGGTGTTCACATTCAACATTATAAAATCACAGAAATTGTAATCTTCAGGTCCTAGTAAGGGGTCAAAGTTATTTGCTGTTTCTCATGAGGACTGAACTAGCTCATAAAATGCCTTCCTATAGGGATATGGTACACCTTCCTTAGGTGCATGTGGTTATTCTCATCCTCTTTCTCTCTTCTCTGTCTCCCTCTCTCAGTATACTCCATCAAGACAGTAAAACCCCTGTTCTCACCTGAACAAACTAATTTGAGTTCCATGGTAGTGTCACATTGAAAAAGAAAATGTTTGCTAGCATCAGTTATCTAAACACACACCAGAAAGTAAAAAACAAAAACAAAAAACCTGTACTATCAATCAAAGAATGAATAATCATTAAGATTAAACCCAAATCCTTTTTGTTTGCAAAAGAAGTCTGAACATAGTTAATAGTGAGACATATTCAGCATTAAGCTGTAACTGAGGCCCCAGCAACCAACAGGTTTGTCTCTCCATTCTCCCCACAACTGGAATGGTCAGCCTGACTGTCTTCCCTCCCCCAGCTGCCTAGGGACTTAGCAGAGAGATAGATGAAAGCAGTGAGAGATAATACAAGACAGAGAACACATAAACAAAGCTACCATTTGCCAGACAGTGTGTCCTGAGACAGAGAGTCCACTGCTGGTATAGTTATGGTGGCAAGTAGACATAGTATGTATAGTAGGTGAAGACAAGCCAATTTGAAATTTAAGAAAGGCAGGCTTCTCAGAGCTTAGACACTTGTATTCAGGATAAACTTTAAAAAATATTTCTTCACAGACTGGGATGTGGCTTGTGGTAGAATGTAAACAAGCATGAGTATCAGAAAGAGAAACTTCCTTTATCATTTACCCCATAAGCTGCAGGATGGTAAGGAGTCACAATTAAACTTGATCAAACCCAAGCTAATGGAGGACAACCAGAGAACCTGGACTCTGAGTAGCTAAATTGTGCCACTTCCTAATACAGAAGCAATAAATGATTTTGGATTCTCACTGACAGTGTGTGAACATATTTGAAATTGCATAAAAGATAGTTGGATTAGAGTAAACAGAAGGCATCTTAGCAATTAAGTATGTGAGAAGGAGCAGTATATATTTATTGGGCACCCAATAGGTTATGCCACCTTCAAATAAGACATTAATAGAAGAAAAATAAACCTGAAAGTGTTTATTTTCCAGAAAAAAAATGTGGTCATTCCATTTTTTAAAAAGACAAAAAAAATGATAGGGGCCAACTCTGTGTTTACAGTCAATACTCAAAACAAAACTTATCAAAGGTAATTATGAACCCCCAACATCATATGGGCAAATATATTCAAACTTACACACATACTCACTAAAAATGACTCACAATCTGAACCTAGAGACTGAGGAAACAATCACTGCTGACACCCATCATCACGCCCTTTGGAAAAGAATGATGCTGTCAATGATAGATAAACTGACTTCCTGGGATATCATCTCCTAACACCAAGCTCTCTGACCACCAATGTTACACAAGATTGAGGGAGAGACCCCAAATAAGACTGCTGCCACTGCAAAGGGAGTATGTACTACCTACTTCATGTGGAGTGCTATTTCTACAACTTCTGCCTCCCCAGCCAGAGATTATTCAGATAGACAGATGCAGGAGATTAAAAGTTGTTAGATGCTCTTGGCAGGAATAATATGACCTGAAAATTCCCCATTCTTAGCTTATTAACTCTGGTTCTTACCACACCATTTTCAGTTGCCCTATTTCACTTCTGGATTCACCTTTATAACCCAGCTTCTGCATTATATCTTTCAGGAGCAGCCCTTCTCTCTTCTCAATATATAAGAAAGTTATGAATGTAGAAATTGGGGTAATTACAAAGACATAACATAACAAAGTTATAAATTAGAAAAATATACCCTTTTTGAGTCTCACTGTGTAGCCCAGGCTGGCCTCAAACTTTCGATCCTCCTGCCTCAGCCTCCTGAGTGCTGGGATTACAGACATACACTACCATGCCTGGTTTAGAAAAATATCTTTAGGAAGAAATAAATTAGACTGAAAATTTCCCAAGGCATTTCTGCTTCTCCAAAAACCAATATAGTGGGAAAATCACAAGCTTTGGAGATAAATGACTGTGTGGTGATTGGGTCTCTTAACTCTTGCCAATTACTATGTTAAGTGACAATAATACTTAAAGATATTGGGAGGTTTAAATTATGAATTTATGTCAAATATTGAAAACTTTGAGAGTGATAGTCAAGTAAAGGTCAAAATAACACTAGCTGAAACTTCAAAATCCAGGAAACAATACAGAGTAAAAGGATATAAATCAATGAGAACAGCTAGAAAGCTGGCAATCTTGAAGTAGAAATTTAAAACATAGCTACATTAAAAGAACACAATGTATATACCTGATAATATTCAAATGAAACATTTTAAACCATTTGTTCCTTTTTATATTAGAACCACAAAGGATAGGATATAATCATTCCTAAATAGTAGCTAAAAATAGATTAATGGGCCTTTGTACTTAACAGCCTTGTTTATTTGGGAAATGAATGAATAAAGAAAACTTTGTTCTCAACTGGGATAATAATTTACAAAATTCAATAAGGTGCACTGCTGTCTTCAGGAAATTTTTTATATAGTACACATCCTAAATTATGTTTCAAGTGTCTTTTGGTATCTCTTCTCATGCTAACCACACTTGCAAAAAACTAAATTAGGCCAGGCAAAGACTGAGTCAAGCCAGGTGTCACAGCACATACCTGTAATCCCAAAACTGGAGAGGCTGAGGCAGGGGTGAAACTTTGAGGCCAGCCTAGGCTATACAGCAGGATCCTCTCAAAAAAGAAAAAAATACTAAGTTGAACACAGAATAAAAGGGGTTTTTCCCCCCTTGTCATTTTCATTTCTTTCTTTTTTCTATAAATTTTCTAGCTATCTCCAAGAGGAGGTAGAACTTCTTGAGTAATATTCCAAATAAAAAATAAATGCTGGATTTAGTCTTTTGTTATACCAGGACAAATGGTTAACACTGAAATGGGTAGGAAGTTGTGTAAGATGTTTAAATTGGGATACTTTGTAACTGTGATGTGTCAGCACTCCCTCCTACACCAGGGGGTTCTCTCCTTCAATGTAAGTATGTTTACTCTCTAACTCTTCATACTGAACTAAAGACCAAGTAAAGTCTTTTCGAAAAAACATTTTTATGCCCTTTTTTTTCTTCCAGTTTCAGTGTCATCAATTTAAAACTGGTAGTATAGAATAAATATTTTGGAAGTGAATAAGCCAGAAGGAACAGAAAAAAAATAGTTCCAATACAGTAATTTTTTAAAATATTTATTGGTAGAAATAGATCTTCAAAGCATACTTTGTGTTTATATAAATTCTACATTCTCTTAAGGATTTTTCTTTTATTTGGAGGTTTTTGGCCTCCAAGTGAACTTAACACATTATCTATTCATTTGGTTCCTTATAGACTTTTTATTTTTTAGATTTTAAAACTGAATTTGAGAAACCATGCATATTGTATACCTTACTTAATCCAAAGAAATGTTTGCACATCCAAAAAGTCACAAAAAGGCTGAACTCAAGTTAATAATCTATTCCTAAATTTTTCATGTTCCATTTCTGAATAAAGGAATATTTGTTCAGTATTATATATTGCTTGCTGTCTAGTGAGATTGTCAGAGATGCTTCAGTAAATTATCTTTATCTTAAAATTATATCTTAATCCACTTTCTCTCAGAAATGATCTTGTCAAACACTATGCCATATGCAGCATTATCACAAAAGTTTAAATAAGAATCAAATTTGTAACTTTTTAAACTGGATATTTTAACCTTAAAATTATCTATCTATATATACACGTTATGTTGCATGTTAAATTATCATTTCAAGTAGCTTAAATATATTTAGCAAACATTCTTTCAAAGACTTAGACACCAATGTCTAAACATAGTACTAAGCATATGAAACTTGAAAATCCAAGTAAAATCTGCTATAGTATTAAGAAAAAGAGGATTGATCTTTAACTTACAGAGTTTAGCAGATACAAAATTGTTCAGCATGACAAAATTACCAAAATAAAAACATTTTAAAGGTTATTTGGTTCTAGCAATATTAACTACTCTGAACTTCTTGATAATTTAACATTTGCATTTTAAATTTTATATAAATGTCCTCTTTTTAACAAGTTAAAAAAACCACACAAAAAATAGTTCAAACTATAATCCGTCTTTTTTCATCCTGGTTAGCTCATCACAAATAATTCAATAAAACAATGCTTGAATACTCAGTTCTATTAAAATGCACTATGTGAGTATATCCCATTATTTTACCCATTGTTTGCTACCCCAGACCCTAAAACAGGCTGCCGACAGATTGGACAAGTGCAATTCTCTGAGAGCCATCGGTCAATACAGTGAATGTGAAATTCATGCATACAAGGTAATTGCCTGAGCTTGTTTCCAGTTACATAGTCACTAATACAAACACTACAGATTTTACCTATTTCACTATCAATACCATTATGTTCGTAGCTCCGGGTAGAAAGATTGTCAATTTGCTCTTTGGTTAAACCACGTACTGGATCATCATCATCACCTTCGTTTAGTAAAAAAAAGTGAGCAAGGCGGAGAATAGGTAGTGTTCCATTTTCAACTAAATTGTTTGAATTTTGCAACTGCCTACCACCTCTATCATCACTGTTTTGGACCTGTGGCTGAGTGGTGTCATTTTCACCTGGCATTGCAGAGCTGTCTTCTGGGGCTATCCTGTCTTGTGAGGAATCTTCACTGTTCTGGCTGCTGCCATTACCTACAACTACGTTGCTCATTTCTGAGTGCATCTCTGCTATATGCTGACCATTTCTCTGAGTCTCTGACTCAGATTCAGCCTCCATTAGAGAACTCAATTCTCCAAACCCAGTCATGACCTGCCTTAAAACTGATCGAAGAGCCACCGAAGATGGCTCTACAAGCTCATTCTCAGAAATCCTCCGAAGAGGAACTGTTATGGTGCTGACATAGGTTCGAATACCAGACCGCTCTAAACGAGAAATAGTTCGGCGAAAGCCTCCACTATTGCTTTCGACAGTAACTGTATTTTCTGCTAGCCCGACTCTAGATCGGGTTCTATTTGCAATACTATCCCGATCTCTATTTTCTCCAGAACGAATCCTTCTCACTTGAAGGTCCAGTGTGATTGTTGGATGTTGTCGTATGGCAGTTGAGGATCTGCTGGATTCTTCTCCCTCTTCTACTGTTATTCTTGACACAAGTCTTGAATTAGAAAATGGGGTATATGCAATACCTTGGCGTTCCCTATTTTGTTCAAAAAGGACCTGAGTTATCCCTCTCCTCCTAACAGACCTTCTAATGGTTTGCTGTAAAGGTCTACTTTCCCTTTGGGAATTACGAAAAGAAGTGCCACTCTGTCTCTGAATTGGTGAACGGCTTCGACTACTGAAAGTAGACCGTAATCTTATTGGCTCTAATCTTTGGTTTGTGTTCCTCACTGTAACATTAGTTCTAGCCCCATTTTCCCAAACATGTGCTGCTCCAAATCGTTGCCCTTCCCTTTGCCTGAGTTCACGACCACCTAATTGGTTTGTGTGACTATTTAAACTAGCATGAGGAGCACTAATTCCAGGAATGCCAGTGGTTCTTCCAATTCCATTTCTTCCCAGTGTTGAGAATGAGCCTTCAACCAAATTCTGCCCTCTTGAACCAAGCCTAGTCCTTGGAATACTGGTACTACCACCACTGAAATTCACTGAGGTTTGGCTTCTTGTTCTCCTAGCCACAGGACTAGTTGATCTTTGTTGCCTATTTCTAGTATGATTTCTGCTAGTATCTGACCGTGGAATGCCCATATAATCTTCTCCGTGAATTTCAAATTCTCTGTTCTCATGATTTATGTGGATTTCCAGACTAAACTGAAACTCTCCACTGTTTGGGTTTGTTCGACTCACAGCTCTCCAAGTTTGGTTCCCATTTTGTCCACTTCGTGTTGCATTTCCTGTGCGATGAAAGGTGTTCAACCATTCCAACAGAGAATCTTCATTTGAGCTTTCTCTGGGGATTTCTGAGTCTAGAAAGTAAATCAAATCAATTTTTAAAATCTGTCCTTAGATCTTTCTTGAAAGCTTATAAGGAAAACAGAGATTGTATTAAATTAATGAACATGTAAATATTTTAATGAATGAAAACAGACAAAACAGAGCTGGGTGTGATTGCACATGCTTGTAATCCCAGCTACTCAGGAGGCAGAAAGTGGAAGGACTGCAGTACAAGAGCAGCCCTAGCAAAAAGTTAGCAAAACCCCATCTCAACCAACAAGCTGGATGGGATGCAGCACACCTGTGGTCCCAGCTACTGGGAAGCATAGTTAGGAGGATTATAGTTCAAAGCTGATTCCAGGCAAAAACTGTAAGACCCTGCCTGAAAAATAACAAAAGCAAAAAGGATTGGAGGCATGGCTCAAGTGGTACAGCACCTGCCTAACAAGCACAAGGACCTGAGTTCATACCCCAGTACTTCAAAAGTGGCAAAAAAAACTGTACTTCCTCAAAAAAAAAAAAAAAAAGTATCTATCATAAGCGTACAATAAAAATTAAAATGCTATTTATACAATTATAAAACTTTAAATAGTATTTGTACAAAGTTGTGGAGAAATCCTCACTCTTGCTTTCTATTTTGTTATTGGCAAAATATTAAAGCAAATGAGAAATATATTAAATACCAAAATTTTGTATTAAATAATTTCTCTCAAATATTAATTACAACAAAACACAGTGACAAAATTCATCCTGTGTCTGTGGAATAATTCTGGTAACCTTAGGAATTTTATCTTATTGCTCACTGCCAAAAAGTGTACATCCTAAGAAGTCTGGCTTTCTGAACAAAACATTACAGGCATATTAGCTGTCTTTGTGTGAAGCCAGGAGGCTGTACTAAGTCACACAAGTTCTATATGGCTATATCCTTGTCTATAAGGATCAACAGTACCAATCTCATCGGGTTATCTTAAGTATAAAATAAGACCTTGTATATAAAATAATTAGCATAAAACCTGGCACAAAGGAAGCACTCAATAAATGTTCTCTATATCTCCCAGATAAACTTCTTTGACTATGATATAGATACTGTGCCAATCATTAAGATTCCATTTGTAACCAGTGGATTATATAAAGTACAAATCTCAATGAAAAGCATTCTGATGCACATTAACTATACAGACCCCACCTTTAAAGTTGTTCTACCCAAAAATACCTATTTTAAATGAGATTTCTTTGGTTTCATTGTATTACTCCAATCTATCTTATAAACTTTTTTCTAATATTGAAGTTAAAGCTGTTAATCAGCTGTTAGTGCCAATAAAATAAAAAAGCAACTTTAGCTACATTCTGAAGATGGTAAACTAGTTGACATTTGATGAGTACATTTTCCTTAAACATATTCAAAAGACTTACATATCTAAACACAAAAGAAAAAAATGGGTTAATATCCAGTTTCCACTATAGTCTGAAAAAGGCAGGTAAGCATTAATCATTCTATTTTTATTTTGTTCTGTTTTTTTGGCAGTACTGGGGTTTTAACTCTTGAACTCAGGGCTTCTTGCTTGCTAGGCAAGTGCTCTATCACTTGAGTCACTCCATCACCCCATTAATCATTCTAAATGCTACTTCTGTCTTTGATTAACCAGAATATAGTGATAATGGTGAAGGTGGAAGAGTTAGCTAATTAGGTACTCAACTCTTTCCTATTCTTCTTCCACTGTAAAAGCATTGCAAATGGACACAGGGGACAATCACAAGAGTTGGCAAGAACCTAGTTGTGGTTGTGACTTATCATGATCATGCAAATGATATCCTAGAATAACAGTTTCCCATAAACCTTTCTGCAATAGTGGAGTTATTCTTTATTCATGCAGTCCAAAACAGAAGCCACTAGTTACATGTGACCACTGAGTATCTGAATGTGGCTAGAATGACTGAGGAACTTTATTGTAAATTTTATTTAATTTTAATTAATTTAAATAACCAGTACTACATGGCTAGTAGCATTGGACAGCACAGCTATAGACTCACTCTGCTACATGGGTAGGTCCCAGGATTTGTGGAACAAAGTTTGTCTGCCCTCCTTGAACTGGGAGCATAAGAAAGAAATTTTTTATTTTATTGAGCCATTATATGCACTGTAACTGATACAATGATTTTAATACAATATGTGAAATCCTAATAAAAAATACCTCTGGGAAAGGAAGTAAAGTTGATAAGAGGGACACAAAGTTGGGTTTACTTCTAACTTTATATACTTCCAATACTCTGAATATTTTATAAGTACTTTGCTTTTTATAAGAACTTTTTATATTATGGCTTTATGTTTGCTCAATAAAATAACAAATCAATAAATAAAACAAACAGAAACAGGTTTCCTGGAACTCAGTCATTCTGTAATGTTTTGAATATAAATTCTCAGAAGCTTAGTTTTATCACTGTAGAAAAGTGTGTACATTCTAAGATTAAACAGAACTGTTTGTAATTACATTAATTGTATACTACTATTTCATGTATATAAGCTTCCTAAAAGCAATCTGTGTAAGATTATCTTTTATTCATTCTTCTGTCCTATACTGCCTAACCAGATTTCTTTGCCTATGACACATAAATATTATCTGACTATCACATTAAAACTGAAAAATGTTAAAAATAAGCATATTATGTAAGACACAGTATTTTCATTCCTGCAACTGCTCCAGTTAAGGCTATTCCTTATGCAAAGTACTCCATAGTACCTCTATAATTTGTCCCATTTCTCAAGTCAGGCTGAGATGCCAGTTGTTCCTTCACTCCATCCAACCGTTGCTGTAGTTCTTCTGATGTTATTTCTCCTGAAACAATGAAAAATCGCTCATTTAAAAATTTTTAAATACCAGGTTTTATGAGAATTCATGAAGTTTAAGCCTAGTTTTCAGCAAACTACAGAAGACAATGTCTAATTATTTTTATATGTTAATAATCAACTGATACAAATATACATCAATTTAGTTGTCCATTTTTTTTCCTTTTTCAGTGGGACTGGGGTTTGAACTCAGGACCTCACACTTAATAGGCAAATAATCTACCACTTGAGTCACTCCCCTAACTTTGTGGCTTTTGTTTATTTTTGAGATAGGGTCTCATTTTTTTGATAATGAGGCTGGCTTTAGCTGCAATCCTCCTACCTATGGCTCCTGCATAGCTGGGATCATAACTGTGTACCACAACACTCAGCTTGTTTGTTGAGATGGGGTCTCACCAACTTTTTGCCCAGGCGGTCCTCCTGACCTCAGCCTCCAAAGTAGTTGGGATTACAGCTATGAACTGCCACATCAGGCTTAATTTTCTTTTAACTCTGACAAAAATGCATGGAATTATAGCTTATAGGTTCCATATAACTGAGAGTGCTCTATCAATTACTCAAATCTTTATTTTAGTAAAATAGTAGTAAATGAGGCACAACTGGACTGGAGGCATGACTCAAGGTACAGAGCAACTTCCAAGCAATGCAAAAAGAGAGAAAAAGAGAGAATGACAGAAGTAGGAGAGAGGGAGAAAGAAAGGGAGAAGGTAGGGAGATGAAAAGTTGGGAGAGTGGCAGACAAGGCAGTGAGAGTAGGACAGAGGGGGAGGTAAAAAAGGAGAGTGGAAGAAGGGAAGAGGGGGTGAGAGTGGAAGATGGAGAACAGGAAAGGGGGAGAGGAAAAGAGTGAAAAATTAAAACTACATATGTGAACACTTAACATTGATGTACATTAATCAGTTAATTTGGCATTTATATATGTTCATATACCCAATTTCTCTCCTACTTATAAAATACAGAAATGAGTCTGGGTATGTAGTCCAGTGGTCTGTCTAGCATACACAAGGCTTTAGGTTTGATCCTCAGTACCACAAAAAAAATAATAAATGAGTTGGTGATTTTCTACTTTGTTATTCTGAAAAGTTCTTAAATTCACAAAAAATAGTACACAATATTTTGAGAGAGGGAGAGCAGAGTTAGGGGGGACTATCATTTTGAAATTTCTCCTTCCAGTGATTAAAAAAAAAAAGGTGTCTCCTCTTTTACTCATTTCTTACCAGGGGTGCCTAAAAGATTATGGTCTCTCATTAACCGATAATCTTCATCATTCAATTCATTAATAAACTGATAATAGGCTTCTTCTCTGTGAAGACGCTCTTGCTGCCGTCTTCTCTCATTTTCATGATGATTATGGTCTTGAGATGAAGTTTCTTCACCACTACCATCTGGTCTAGATCTGGACTGATTCATACTGAAGCTACAGGCTTCCTGTTCAAACAATGTATACAAAATTCAAAGTGTTAGTACATGGCTCTGCATTTTTAAATTAGTTTCTTTTTATTTTGTTCTGTACTCAAATATTTCATTTGTCAAATCTTGCTGTGAGAAATTTACACAGTAAATGAAAAACAGTTTCTAGAAAATAGAACACAATTGGGTCTACTACTTTATCCAATGCCCAAAAACCATCATTTGGTCAGATAGAATTCAGCACACATTCCTCATATCTAAATAGTAAATTGATTATCTCATTTTTTTCCCTTCTTTGACTCTGTGGTAAAGCTGGTCTAAAGGCCCTCATTTATGTTTCAAGTATCATGTTAACTCAGAAATCTTAGACTTGAGATATGCATATTCTCTACTAACGTACAAAGGACTACTGAGGGGTATAATTTATACTTATTTCCAGCAAGGCATTCCTTCCAAAATAATGATCATAAACTTTAATATAACCACCAGCATCCCATTACACTTTACAGAGGTAAAAATAATTTAGCTTACTGTATCTACTAAACAGACTTGGAGCTGATCTTCCCTTAAAGCCCAACAGGAAAACTATGAAGCCCAACAGGAAACAATATACCATGCATGGCTCTAAGGATTGTGTGTACATCTGAGCACTATACTTCCCCATATCAAGCCTCAACCTCAGCCTGGAATAGTAAGTCCCAAAGTATTCTGAGTGCCAATGAAATATCCTGACTTTGCCTAGGCAGGCAGTATTTTTTTTTGTTACATTTAAATGTCATTCCTGAGAAGTTTACTTTTAAACTATATGGAATCAAAAGATAAATGTCTCTGAAAAGTTTTAGAATTTCTTAAACACAGTAATTTAGTAAGTCACTAACACAGCATTATCAAACTCACTTGAAAAAATTCTTTTAAAATCCAGATGCCCAGAACTCATTCCTTGGTCAGCATTTCCCAGGGTAGGGTCAAGGTCTATCATTAAGAGCTAATGTGGGTGTTCCAGGGAATATATATATATATATATATAAATATATAAATACATACGTATATGTATGTATGTATAATGCAGCACTGGACTGAATGAGAGCTCAAATGGCTAGTCTGAGAAATACCTGTTGCAACTCTACCTCTCCAAATCAACCAGGTGTGTAATAAGTAACCTGATTTAAAAAGAAATTATGAGTCTTAACTACTGTAGTTACTATCCAACTTCATATGTATTATTACATTAAATTACAAATTCAAGATTTTTCAGTAATTACTGCATCATCACTTGGAAAGAAAGACCTAGTAGTAATATCCACTCGAATGTTAATTAACACTAAAAACTTAAGATTTTCGTTTTCCAGATTAAGGCCATAATCAGCAAAATGCATATTTGGTAGCTATAGTAAGGTTTTGTAGTAAACAATTTACAAAGTTGAAAACTAACATAAAATCAAGCTACTTGTATTCAAAACCTAAGAGCTTCTCCTCAAAGGTATTATCTGTGTACAAAAAAAGCACAATTAAATCAATGTGAATACCTTATTTTCCTTTCAACATGTTTTTAATATATGCAATGCTATCCATCCTTCAGCTGTTTGAGAGTTGCCCATCTGAAGTAATAAAAAGAGAGTTGAATTATTCAGAGAGTTGTGTCTTTGAAGACCAGGAACACCTAGTAGTCTCCACCTCTTCTGCGAAGCCAAAGCAAATTCTCCAGTGGACTTTTTTAGATGTTCACCTAGAAAATTAGATCCCCATACAATTAGGTCACGAAAATCTCCCGAAATGCCTTTTTCTCCCACAACAAATTTAGGCCTTTTCTCCTACACTGTCACTGCTCCTGAGATTATGCCTCCTCCTCTTCCAAAGGCCTTCCTTCCTATCACGTTCCCATTCGAATGTAACCAAGGTTAGGTGACTCCGATTTACTTCTAAACCATCACTTTCTTGCCACCCCACCCTCCGGCCCGCTACCGGCCCCTTCCCTAGCCGTTGCGATGGAAGCTCGCACCAGAGACAGTCCCCACCACACTAAACAAACCAGGTCCAGGGCCCAACCAACCTCTACCCAACTGAGCCTCTAGCAACGCTTCCCTGAGTGATATAGATCCCACCGGGAAGCTGGTGACAGACGGTGAATCTGAGCCAATCACCAGCTAGAGAAGCTGATTAAGAGCTCAGTCAGCCAATCAGAGAAGAAATGGGTGTCTTCCACACACACCCCACCCCCTCCAAGGACGGCCTGCTTTCCGTGGCGTCTCCAGGAAGTGGTAGTGGAACCCAGAGCTTTCCCTCTACCCCACCTCGCCTGGAACTGGGAAGACCCCGCCTCCAGGCCCGAGATTTATTCGTGGTTGAGCGGCTGCCCTTCGGTGCCAGAGGCTGTGGTAGAACAGCGAGAGGGACTGCCGCCGCTCCCCCGGAGGTCGCTGTGCCCTTTAATCTTCCACTGGTGCAAGAAGCCGGAAGTCCCTGTTCCAGCTGGGTGTCTCCTGCTGAAGGGGAAAACTGTGGGGAAGGAACAGCAGGCTTCAGTCCTCTTAACCGCCCACCGCCAGACCGCCCCGTCGGCGGAGGCGAGACCCTCAGCCGCTCGCCGGTGCGTCTGGAAAGTGCGTCGGGCGGGAGCCTGGGTGCCTGCGTTCCGCCCCCTCTACGCCGCTGTCACGGGGCCTCCTCGAGTCCAAGTTTCCGGCCACTCAGCGCTGGTGGCAGCTTGTAGTGGCAAAGTCACATCCTCCTGTCCACGCTTGGGAAGTCCCAGCACCTCCTTTCGCTCTGGGGTCGCTTGTTTGCCTGCACAACCCAACAGTCTGATCTTCTCTTTACCGTCCCGGTGTAACACACTAATCAGCCTGACTTTTTCCCTTCTTTGCTCGCTGGGACCTGGAAATTACAGTCCTTAATAAATGCTAAAGTGTTTGTATTTGTACTTTTTCTTTTTTTTAACCCCGCTTTCCCACTGAGAAAGCAGCTTAAAACTCCAACGTCCGGTGACGGGGTGTTGTTTTGGTTCTCTGTTTTCTGAGCTGTGACACCAATCTTACCATTAAGATCCTGAGTATAGGTCTCTGTCTGGCCTAGAATGACGCTCTCCTGACACCCCACCGTCCAAACGACTTAAACCACTGAACTCTGCTGTCATTAATCATTCTGGCCTTTTTTCATTGTTACGTTAACTTTTGAGGAACTATTACATCCCCGTCGTTATGCTGGGTGCTGAGTAACAAAAGAAAGCAGTCATTAGCATCGGTGACCTACCAGTGTGGTAAGAGTACATAGACAACTTTTAAATCAGCATATTGCTATAGATATAAAAACGGAAATGCAAATCATCTTCCACTGCCCCCAGATCTCTCTTCTGCATACCCCTAACCAACTGATTTCCTGGCACTCTGGAACTACCTGAATTTCTACAGCAAGATACGGGAATTCCTTCCTAAGTAACCCCCAATCAGCTTTTATCTAACTCTGTCTCCCATGACTCAGCTCAAATCTCATCTTTAAGAAAATTTTCATGATACACCTCAGGCGCCCCTTTTCCCCCCATTAGCCCAATACCACATATAAAACAAGGCAGATGTCCCTTCTGGCAGCACCTATAACTCTTCTGTGTAACTATGCCCTTCTTTTTTTTTTTTTTTTAGTGCTGAAGATCAAACCCTGGGCCTAGTTCATGGGAGGCAAGTGCTACCATGAGCTATCTCCCCAGTCTGTATAACATTATTTTAACTTGTATTCATTTATTTAATGAATATTGAGCGGAACAATGAATGAGTGCCAGTGATAACAGTGATGAATCAGACAGACAAAAATGCCCTTCTGAACAAGGTCCTTGCCTTTCTTTTCAATGGGGGAAAAAAACAGCCATTGAGCAAGTACTCACAGTGATTTCTCTGTTAATTTTTACAGCATCCCCTACTTAGAGCATAAATTCCTTAAATATAAACAAATTTTTTTAAATTCATTTTTATAGTCCCAGAAGTTAGCATAATCTTGGCAGAACATTCTACTCAGCTTACTGCATGAAAGAGCAGAGAAAAATACAATCTTGTGGCAAAAAGGACTAATATCTGTTAGTATAATGACCTTAGATATTGTGAATATAGATCAGAAAAAAATATATATACAAAATTCAAATATAAATCATTTTAACTAGCTACATGAGTTTTAGAGAATGCAATAGTTCATCAAGTCCAAATAACTTTTAAATGTTAAATGGAAAAGACATGTATTTATCCTAACAGTCAAAAATGTAAAAATATGATCAAGTGATTTGCTAGGCAGAAAGCTGCAGGTTATTGTAAGTGAAGAGTGAAGGGATGTATGTAACTTGAACAACTTCAGTTTTTGTGGTCTAAGATAAGGTGACAACTAAGGAAAGCAGATATAATAGTTGCAGAAGACAAATGAATCATTCTGGATATATATTCCCAGGCCTCATAACCTGCTAAAAATCTCTGCTCTGAATAATCTAATTTTTTGATTTTTTCATGTTTATGCATCTTTTAACTCCAAGACTTTCTGCAATAAAAATAAAAAGGTATAAAAGAACTAAAATCATAATATTAAAAGGATTCTCTGTATATTTGGCATAATATATGCTTGTCGTGTTTAAGAGATTTAATTATAGAATGAGAGCCTTAGTTAAAATTTAAAATGCAAACAGGAGTAGTTGATTTACACTTCTAAGTGTAAGTTGAAATCTTACTAAGCATATGGATGGCAACAGAAGACCTAAGAAAAATTTGGGCTCATTAAATTGTTTTTTGTTTTGTTTCATTTTTGAGACAGGGTCTTGCTAATATTTAGGCCAGGCTGTAGGCTCATTAAATTTTGTTAATTTAAAATATATTACTTAATGACTCAGGAAGGAGTTAAATGTAACACCTAAACAAGATAAAATATTAAATCTATAGAGTTTAAAATGTTTGAAGATGATTAAGTAGTATGTGAATAAAATTGAAAGTTAAAAGTTAATTCCAAATGACTGTTAAAAGTTTACTACCCTTATCACTAAAATAGAAAGAACTAAATTAAATGCAAAAGCCTAAAGTATACTAGAACATAAAATTTAGAGCCCAGATGTCTTAATTCATTCATTAACAGTCATCCCTTTCCCTTTACCTCATCCCAGTTCCAGCCCCTGGTAATTAGTAATCTACTTTCTGTCTTTATGGATTTGCCTATTCTGAATATTGCAAACAGAATTATGCACTGTGTAGTCTTTTGTATATGGCTTCTTTCACTTAGCATAATGTTTCTAAGCATCATCATGTTATAGCTTGTCTCAATACTTCATTCCTCGAGAGAAACTTCTGAAAGTCCTTTTCTGTGTATAAAACCACTCCTGACAACCAGGGTCTTAATTAGGCCAGAAACTGTAATGGGCCAGGTTGTTTGGAAACTGGGCCTGAGACAAGGCCTTTTGTTCAATGTTTTATTAGGGAAGGATTTCTAGAAAAAGGGAGGGAGGGAGCAGGAAGACAAGAAGACAAGGAAAGAAGTATCAGCCTCCACTGGTCCTACAAAATTCACCACCGAGTGAAATGCCACCTTTTTGTACCTCCATGTCAGTCTGTCTTTGGGTGAGATCTGCAAGGGCAGGAGGAGGTCATTAGAGCCTAATGAGTAAGGTAGCTCCTGTTTTAGCCAAGGAAAATTCTCTGGAAAGGGACACAGCTAGAATTGTTATCCAACACTCAATAGCAGCTGGAGTATAGATGCCCAAGTGTATAAAGTGAATTTGGGTCAGGCACAAAAGTCATTCACTTTAGTTCACTGTTGATTTCTGTTTTTAGGGGTACAATGGAGTGAACTCAGGGCCTGGTGCTTGCTCAGTAAGTGCTTTGCCAATTGAGCCATGCTGTCCCCTAATTCACTCTTTATATTACCTTTATATTAATATATTTCTTTATATTACTCTGTCTGAGCATTTATGCAGAATTTTTATCAGTCACAATTTCTGGGCATTTTTTTTTACAAGAGGAAAGTAATGGGATGAGATACAATCCCCACTGCTAAGGCTGGTTTCAAAGGCCATAACTGACACTCATCTTCCTCCACCCTCTCTATATTCACTTCACCTCAGCTAGACTTTCTGCTGCCATATGTGGCTTGACTGATGGATTGAAACAAGAATCATCCTCAAGGGATTTAAGACCCTGGTTATTACGCTCTTTTCAGCATATGGTGGCTATACTTGCCCATTTACAGTTACTACCAGGCATGGGAATACCAATAAATACCCCCCAGTGGATCTGAGTACCTAATATATTTCTCTGCTCTCATTATGTAGCAGCATCCTCCACCAACTTTTGATGACTCACTTGTTGGTCTTCTGGCATAGGAGCCCACAATCACCAGAAAGTGGCAATAGCTACAAGTGTAGTGGGACTCTCACTGTACCCTCTGATGGAAACACCCCACCTCTGGAGATAAAGACTTCTAGTCTAGTAAAACCTAAAGTTGCAGAGAGGAACCACAAATTCTTCAAATGCATCACTGGGTTCACACCACTCTTACTTATTCCTCAATCTCAGGTGCCATGTATTCTCCTATGTGGGGATACAGCACTATATGGCCATTGGCCAAGGGAGTTAACCACAAAGATGTTATTTCCAAGGTGGAGTCTCAGATAAGTTTTTAACAGAGCATTTCTCCACTCTATCAATTTGGTAGCTTCGAAGTGGTATGGTATGCCCAGTGGATACTCAAGTACTTACCACCACACCTTGTTGCTGAAAATTTAAGTCCCTTGATCTGATCAGGGACTGATCAGATATAATATAAGTATTATAGGAGATCCTGTGTCAAAATATCAGACAGTCTCTGAGTCATTGGGTAGTGCCTCTGGCTGAGGCACTGTGGGCAGGAAAGGCAAACCTGTACTCAGAAAACATGTCAAACTGTTACTCTTTCCAGGTTGGGAAGGGGTCAATATAACTGATGTGCCACCCAGTGGCTGTTTGGCCTCATTGACAGTATAGTGATGGTCTTGGCAGTTGACAGGAAAATAGCAGCAGCAGCAGCAGCAGGTATATCAGTTTTTGAGAGAATTCAAGCTGTTGGGCCCATTCACATCCTCTATCTCTGCCACCATGGCTACTCCATCCACAAGACCAGTGGGCAAGAATTAGGATAGTCATACACGTGGGCTTCCTGACACTTGCTTAGTCATCCCATCTACTGGTTGGTTAACGTCTCTTCTGCAGTGGAAAATCTTTAACAGAAAATCTTTAACGTGCTATAAAACATCTCACACTATGTGCCTCCTTCCACCAGTGTGCCCATCTGCCTATTCCTCAGCCTTTCCCACATCTTATTTCTTCCTAATCTCTGACCAACAAGCTAGACTAACATTTGCCATTGTCCATGAGTACACCCTTACTCTGGCCACTTC